ATGATTGATTTCTCATCGATCATCTATCTAATCTGTCAATTCATCTGTTATCCATCCATCTGATGTTGCCCATCTTGACCTGTTTAACCACATCGGGAGGATTCGGGGATTTTGGAGAGCTTGGTAGTGAGATGGTAAGATGTTCTGTTAACCCATTAAGGGTGAGGATGGGAGCCAACACTCTTCACAGCAGAGGCGGTAGAGTTGTTTTGTTGGCTCTTTCGTGTTGAGGTGGTTTGACGTTTTGAGATTTTACAACAGGACTGCAATGTCCTTGGTTTCACTGGGGACCTTTTTTTTTGTATTGCCGTGTTTTTAAATGCTGTTTGTCATCCCTGTCTGCAAGCACAACACTTAATCAGTTTCAATGGTAAAACGCTGGTAGTTGCTCAGTGTCCATGTTTCATTCTTTACTTAAGGAGGTACAGTTTGAATTTATTTTATTATTGTGTTCACCATACTTTCCATTTTTGATGTAGAACATTTGATATTACAGACAATTTTCAAAATTCCTATGATTTTATAACCAGCTCATTTAGTTTGGCTCGTTGGGTTTGGAACCTTATCCGTATTGTTGGAATACCTGCAACAACTTGTTTTTCCACCTAAGGGAAAAACAATGGCTTCAAAATGTGTTTTAACAAAATACACAATTGGAAAAAAAAAACTACATTCGGTACTGTGAATAATTTTCCGTTTGAAATTCAGCTCTAAGCTCATATCTTATGTAACACTTTTTTTTTTTTGTTAATGGCCTGAAAGTGAACAATAGCCAGGAGGAGGAACAATTCATATGCAATTACAGGCAAACAAATAAAAGTCCCATTGCACAGGGTTTCTTTCTTTCTCTTTTAAGAGCTGCAGCCCTTTCTGTAAATCTCTTAAACATCAAGCACCTGATACGTTTAGCTTATCATTTACAACCAGGCATGAGATTTTTTGCTGCTTCAGTATAATTGATGCAAGAACACTGACCCAAAATGGATTATAAAGTGCTATGAACTGGGAAGCTGTATCTATCTCCCTGAAACCTCAGGAGGGACCAGAACTCTTGAAGGACGTCTATATGGTGGAGATAGCAAGAGCAAAGAGCTTTAAAGGTTGTATTGCTGTCTCCTGTGTAATGGGGCTGTGGCTGGTTGCAAAATGCGTTTTTATTTTGCCCTTCAGTGTTCCTTGTGTGTAAGGGTATGTCTTGAAAGGAATATCTACAGTGTCCAACGCAAGATATTTTACGCAACCAAGGCCTAAGGCCAGAGCCTTTTCTTTCTTTCTTCCTGGGTATTCCTTGGGCTTGAGAATGTGGGCTTAAACAGTATGAAAGTCCATGTTGATACCCCAATTCAAACAGTTCCCTCCTGTTCTGGTTACAGACGGCCCTGTTCTGTGTGCGAGACCAGTCGGTTGCTCGTCCCTCAACAGCTGCTTTGAGTTCCTATAAAGTTTTAAGTACAGCGGAGATGCACAGAGTAAAAACCCAGTGTCTTCTTTAAAGACTTCCCTTTTCTCTATTTCAGCTTTTAACCATCTGCTTTGAAAACCAAAGCTGTTCTGGACAATTAGATGAGATTTTTATCCTACATTGACTAAATAATCTGTGACAGACGAGCCTAAATGTGAGCTACTTGCTTATCAGTGTAGTGTTTTACTGGCAGTTGTGAGGCACTAGTATTGAAGCTGAAGACATGAATAATTGACTGCAAGGAAAAGTGTCATCCTGCGAGGGCATTTTAAGGCAGAGAATAAAATGACGAAATCTGCCATGAAGAGAAGCCTAACATTACAAATTCTTTCAAACATATTTATTTGAAATTAAGTGCTTCTGGACATGTCCAGATAGATCTTAACATTGTAATCCAGCTTGGATAAAAGTACTCTGTATAACCCAAGAGCATCAGAAGGGTTACAGAAGAGGCCCATTCTGCCCCTCCTGCTCTTCTTCGTGCTACAGAGGTTGTTTATGATATTGTTGTGGAGAACAAGAAGACTGACTGTTGAGATTTAGGTGCAGCTGAAGCTGCTTAGTTCTAAAGACAAATTGAACTGGATAGTGCTCTTGGAGCTCAAACTGATGAACTCCAGTGAGTGAACAAGAAGTGTGATGCTTATACATAGGCAAGTGGAAGTAGGTGAGACTAGGGTTTGACCTTCTCCTGAACTTTTCTTTTAGACTCGATTAAAGTGAAATAAATGATCCTACAGTAGAACCAAAATTCACTGTTGCCCTTAAGATGTATTCTTTCAAACACACGCATAGTAATAGTCCTAAGAATTGATTTGTGTCTTAAATTCACACATTGAACAATTTAAAGCTTTGAGAGCTCCTGCTCTATTATGTAAAATTGTCAGTAGACTCCATAGGTTTAACTTTAATCCACATCTGATATGGCCCCTTCCTTCTTGTCTGGACAGCATTTACATCTGAGTCTTGTCACCGCAGCGATGTGTAAAGGATGGAACAAAGCGGATGTCATTTCAGGGCAGGTGGGAAGAGGAGCTTAAGGTTTCAAAATCCACTCAGATTGCTTAAAAGACAACACAAAGAGGAATTGTTTGCTTTTTTTTTGGAGGGGATCAACTATTTGAGAATTGTAATTTATAGTAGCTCATACTTTAAGTTCCAGGAACTCTCAGCGTGATTTCTGCCTACAGTAGTTGCTGAAGTGGCAGAGGCAGCATTATCAGGGCTGTATGTCACAGTGTGCCATGAAATTTCTGCCTGGGCTGCTAGTTTTCAAGGAGGACTTCTGTGTCACTTCTTCTGAGCTTGGTTAGCATTCACAGTGGGGTGCTACAATCACAGGCAATCACGCTAATTACTACCCGAAAGACTTTCCTCATCCCCCACAATCCCCAAATGCATAACTTTATTTAATGTTCTTTTTCCATGATACACGGTCCTTTGCCCAGTTTGCCATGAAGAAGGGATGAGGAAATACAACCATTCATCTCTTTGCCTTATGAAGCAGTTCATGTCATGTCAAACGTTTTATGTCAAAAATGCAGTTTGCATGTTCGCATAAGATGCAGGATTTTCCTGTAGACACCATAAATGCGATCATAACGTTTTTTCTTTCCTGCTTTCTTCCTGTAGCGAGTACCTGACCTTAAAAGTTAAGAGTGTGTGTGAGTGGTAAATGAGGCAATTATCCATCTAGTTTTGAACCTCTTTGTTCAATTCAGAGTTGCTGGGGAGCCGTGGCCTGTACCAGCAAGCATCGGGCACAAGGCAGAGTACACACTGGGCAGAATGCCAGTCCATTGCAGGGCAGACAGACACTGACTCACACACAGACACGCACAGTCACCTCGGGGCCAGTGAGTTTACCAGTATGTTATTGAAGTGTGGGAGGAAAAAAAGAAAGCCAGAAGGAAACGCATGCACAGAACATTCAAGCTCTATACAGACAGCCCCATAGGTCCAGTTTAACCCAGGGCCCCACTGCTGTGAGACAGCAAGATCTCCACCGTGCAGCCCTGAGGTAATTTTAATTAGATAAATAAATACCTATGTATGGCTTGATTGCCTTCTACTTTCTTTTGAGAAGACCTTCTGTGGTTAAACACCCTGCTTTAGAAAGTTGCCTTGAAAAGTGTTTTGTTTTTTAGATTGAATGTATGGAACCCTGGAAGTTTAGTTAATCGAATCAGTTCAAACATTTAAAAGTGTGTAAGGACATTTGGCAAATATTTGTGTAGTTTGTTTATGTTGAAAACCCCAGCTGTACTGTATCAGATCTGAAACTTCATGAATATGCTTCAATGAATTTTTCCATGACGAGTATGCCTCATGAGATCCTGTGGTTATCGCACACAGGTTACAAAAATAACGGCTGGCACATCTTTTTTTTTTTCAACTTGATTTGCGAAATACCCTGTGTAGTTTGTACAATTTGAAGAAATAAAACAATCGCCCACTTCGGGTAAGCCCAAAATTAGACTATGCGTATTGCACGACACAGTGTGCAATTAAAGGTCCTGGCTTTGTGAGGGTTTAAAAAGTCTCATTAGCAACCCTCACAGTTCTAGGACCTGTAATTGCACAGGGTGTCAACAGGGTGTTGATAACTTAGTATAAATTACACCTACTGATGCCTATTAGTGATTTTATAACAAAACTCAGGTTGTTCTCAATTATAAAATATAACTGCTATATACTTCTGTGTTTCTGTCCTATGTACCAGATAAAGAAGAATTCTGCACAAACTACAAACTAACCTAGAGAGAGAAACAGATTACTGATAATTGATTTTCTAATTAGACTGCAAGACAGTCCCTCAACCTTTTGCCTCCTTTTTTCTTTTCTCTAATGTTGGAGCTCCTAAAATTCAAAGTAGCACTGGTTTCCAGCAAAATCTCAATTTTCGCAGGCCCTCCTGGAGCCAGTGAGTTGTGTGTTCAATGGCTTGCATTTGGTATGACGCATGAACTCAAATTAGGGGCACATCCTCATCGCCTTCATGCATTTCAGTGCATTCATCTCGCTAGACAGGCCAAAAGGCCTTCTCTCATGTGTAACCTTAACCTTTCTTGTGTTCCTGCTTCCTTAATCTAGGATGATCTCACATGCTTAATCAACACCAAGTGTTGGTTAAGCACTACAGCGAGAGAACACCCTCTGAGATCTGTCTCCACTCTGCTAATTAATTACTTTGACAACCACAGAGAATAGCTGCCTGCCTTTTGGGTACAATTCACTGTGGACCCTTCAAAAAGAGTGCAGGATATTTTGGTAGACACCGCGCAATGGAAATGAGCGTTATCACCTGACTTAAGAAAAATTTTAATTAAAAAAAGTGTTTTGGCTACCAAGCTCAGATGTCCAGGGGACTGAGCCCAGGGCTGACCTTAAATATAATCGGGGTCTGTATGGTGGGCGGCATTGTGGTTTGTCACAATGGGCCCACGGTGGACTTCAGGTGCTCTCACAGACATGCTCTGTACTGTTGCTGTTTTGTTTTCTGGTTGATTAATGAGCGGGCATGTCTTCTGTTTGGCAGCATCAAGATGGTGTGCATGTGGACCAGCGGAGACACCTTTAAAACCGGGTACTTCTTGGTGAACCAGGCGCCGATCCAGTTCTGGATCTGCGGGTTGCTTCAGGTCTTCGTGGATCTTGCCATCCTCTTCCAGGTCTACTACTACAGCCGCTACCCCCAGAAGCCAGTCTCGCACGCTGTGCACCCCTCCAGCGCCAAGGCGCTCTGAGCCAGCCGTTGGCACAGCTGTGGAGCTGAGTGGATATTTGTACGACTCGTTTTCAAACACAAAAACAGACTTTTTTTAAATATGGAGAACTGGGATAAGAATGTCTTTCCAGCTGTTATTTATATTTTTATACACTCATGTTGTACGCCCACGCGAAGGTTTGTATTCCTGAAACTGGCACAAGACGTTACATGATTGTTGCATGTAGACCTTTGCCTTACTGTTGGACAAGGGCTGAGGAAGTTGAGAGCATTATGGGGGAGAAAAGCACAGGCTGATGAAGCCTCTTTTTCTTTTTCTTGGGGGTAAAGACTGATGAAGACATGAAGTCTTCCATGAATGTACAACTTCACTAATCTTTAACCATGTCTGTTACACAGAACAATAAAACAGGGGGCGCACTAGTAAAAACTCCAAGTACAATTCGTTGTTTAGTGGAGACACAAAAAAAAGACGGCAAAAGATTAATGCAAATTTTAGTGGGGAAAAGATGTACCTAAGCGCACACTACTATACCAAAAACATACAGATTGAGTGTTAGAAATGGATTAGTGTCAGGGTGGGAGTCTTGAATGGATACTGTTTCTTGGTGTGCATGCTTTCCGGGCTTGTTGTGAAACCTCCTACACAAGAGGGCCCGAAGCAGTGACATCTGCCACCTAGAAGATTTTTTCTTGCGCAGAGTGGTACTTTTGAAGACAGATGCAGCATGAAAGTTGCTTACTGTCCTGTCTTCCATGGAAGTTTTGTTGCATTGAGCTTACCTCACCAAGAGGGCATCTGACTTCCACGCCCAATCTCGAATGAGCTGCTGTGGGGACGACTCGGCGTTTCATGCCAGTATCGAGAGATGACTCAGTGCCAGTTCCTTTTTCATTGCCAAAGTGGCAAAGGCTGTCCCTTCAGAGGTGAATTGTTTCAGTAGAATAATGAAGACCCAGGGTCATGTGTCCAGGCCAGTCATCTTTATTGCTTTCAGTGCTTGAGGCTAAACTGGAGATAGAAAGTGCACTGGCTGTAAGGGAATTGAACTTCGGTGATAATGGAGTATTCTGCCCTCAGTATATGAGAAACATTCCAGGCTGAATTAATTCATAAGTAAAACAGCCATGGGGCATTACCTTTCTAGAAGGCTCCCCCACAACCTACACACATACTCCACCGGGCATAGTGCATGAGGAGAAATCAAACTTAATTCTTGCCAGTCTGCTCCCGAGAGACAGTGGTGTCCTTTAAAAGATGGAACATGGTGAAATCTTCAGAACTCGCACGTCTCTTCCACAGTATAGATACACTATGCATTTCTCCTCTCTCCTTGTCAGACAATGTCAAAATCCTCTTATTAGCTGTCTAAGCTCCCGAGCTGAAGTGATTTCAGTGTGTGTTGAATGTCAGTCCACAGCTACACAAAGCACACAAAGTGAGAGTTGCGGCTATTCCAAAGCCTGAATTCGGACTGAGGACTTTGCAGGAAGTGGGGGAGGGGGGGTCACTCTGTCTGTCCTCTGTGAAGATGAAGCACAAGCCATAATAGAGAGTTCTCATAACAGAGTCTTCTCAAGCGTTTGGTGCCCAAAAAGGTGTTGGAGTTGTCTGTACATGTGTGATTATGAAACGTTGTTTACTGTGAGGTTTCACTTGAGTTCAATTTTATATGGGCATTACATCCCTGTGATAACAGTACTGAAGGTATGAGGAATTGAAGCAGACTTACACTCAGTAGAGCACTGTCTTTCCCTGAAGTATTTATCAAGTGGTGATGCAAGATGTACATGGTAGTACAGTATGTAGCACATATGTACCATGTTGTTGTTTCTCCTCTTCAAGTCTGCAAGCTTTTCTTTCTTGGGATGTAATTAAGTGGTCAACCTTGTTCTGGAGAGTCACAGTTGTGCAGATTCTGCAAGTGTTTTTAAAACATTAATCAAGCACTTCCTGCTACAAATATCCCACAAGGAACAGGTCAGCCTGTTCATCTACGGCTGGTGTCATTATGACCCTTGTAGAAATTAATCTGGAGTTGTTTTTGCTTTGTGTAATAAATTGTTTAAATACTTACTAGACAATGACGCATATTCCAAGTTTATTGAATGATCATCCTAGCAAATTATACATTTTTTATTATAGATTAAGTTAAATCTGTGTCAGCAGCTCTATAGTTATTTCAATAAGTCTTAAAGAAGCAAATATCCTTATCCTTAAGACATAGGGTGGCAGTGCTCAGGCCTGCATCCTTATGAAAACTGCAGTTCAATTGTGAAGAGCTTGTGTCTGTTTGCTTGTTGAAGTAAGAGATTGTACAGCAGGTTTCTTCTCTGGCAATTGCTAAAAAAGCAGGAATCCTAGAATTCCCATTTTCCGACTTTATCAACCAAAGATGTGGATTAGTGCAGGGTTTCTCAGTCCTGGTCCTGTGTAACCCTTGTCTTCTGGTTGTAAATCATCTGAGTTCTTACTCACAGGCTAATTGATTTCATTTTTCTGTTTGGGGCCTTTCTTTAAAAAGAAAGAGAGATTTGTAATTCATATAAACCTTGTGCTAATGAGCACGTTTCAGAAGTCCTTTTTTCAGGTATACGAGATGAAATGTAATGCAATTAATTGGACTCGGGCAGAAGGAAAAACACGGCCTGCCTGTGGGCAGGTCTGACACTGTTATTCCCACCCGTGGGCAAGTCTGATAGTGTCAATCCCACCTGTGTCTCTTCATCATCAATTTATCTCCTGTGAAGAGCTGTTTAGAGAAAAGTCTTATTTAGCATACAGAATGTTATGCATTTTCTCCTCAACTTGCTAATGTTGTTGAAAATAATGTACTTTAACTGGGGTAGTTTTTAAATCAAGGCCTGAATGCAAAAATAAAGTCTAACCCAGCAATCAGATCAGTTATCCTTGGTGATTAAGGGCTCAGTTGGCACATGAACAGCAGGGACCAGGTCTGAGAGCCACTCATGGATTTATGGAATGTAGAAGTACTCAGGAAAAGTTGGGACTTGTTTAGATGAATGAGAGAAATGATTAATCAAGCTGCATTTTTTACCTTGGGTGATAATTGGTCCCATTTCTAAATGTTCGTACTATTCCTTTTTTTGTCCGTGTGGGATAGACCCACTTGGTTTAAAATCTCTTCCTTCTTCATTCATCTGCTGTGCTGCTTCTCTTCCTGAGGAACATCCTGTTTGACAGAACCAGACATTGAATACCTGCCAAAACCTCTGTCATGGGTGTCAGGCTCTACAAGTGTGAATGGGATGAATGGCTCAAAGATGATGTAAAATTATACACTACATACATCTTTGTAAATTGCCTTATACTCTCGTTTCTGGTCCTATGGGGTAACTGACACGAACTATAGACTCCGAACTGGGCTGTAGGTCAGCTCTATAGAGGTCAGATCCTTGTCCTGTATTACTGTAGGTGTGTTAAGCCCAGAATATGGTACTGTACCTACAGTACCGTTAAGTAAAATGTGATGTGGGTATTTTTTTTCTTTTTACCTTTATTCAAATTTATACTGTCCTTTTTTTTTAAAGTATATTGTATATGTACTGTTTAGCAAATTCTGTGTGGATTGAAATATTTATAGAAAAAGGCCAAAAGGAGTTTTGATGTTCTATTTAACATACAGTTGTTTGCCAATGCATTACAAATAGCTTATAGTCAGTTGTAATGATTTTCACTTAATTTTAACATCACTTTAGAGTACTCTGAATTAAATTCTGCATGGCAGCAAAATTGCGTGTTCAACTCTGATCAGTCCTTTTATTAATTTAATTCAAAACTATAGGAATGCATTTCTCTGATGTTCTATTATTGTATATCTTACTCATGACATGATACATTCAGTCACATACATTTTAAATTGGAGAATTGCAAGTCAAGTTGTTTTTAATGCAAGTTACTAGTTAGAAAAGGTGCCCTTGTCAGTATTAAACTCAATGATTATTCTGTTCTATTTATATTCTTTTTGTCCTTTGACTGTTTCTTTACATGGCTGTTTTGTTGTGTGACATTTTATGGGGTTCACTTTATAATTGTCTTGTATTTGTGTTTTACAAAAAGGTCAGTGCTTAACAATCTGGACAGCACCATTTTGTTTAAAAAAAACTGCCACATCAGATGGTTTTTATACCAAAATTTAATACAAGGAAAGACATATTTACGTAAGAGATGGTAAAAGTTGTTTAATAAAACTGAACATTACAGTGTCTGTGTGGTCCTCTGTTTATGGTGGAAATGTTTGTGTTAGCAGAGTTGTCTGTATATAATCACTTAATAAGACATGCAAGTTAATTGGTCATCATGGGTAAATGCCACACTTGATTTGGAATTTAAGTGATGGAGAATGACAAAATGTCAGCTTAGTGGTACACCTGTTTCACAAGTCTGTTTTCTTAACAACAGCCATTTTTCTGAGTGTAAATCACTTAATGCTCTTCTATCACAGTTGAGACAAGTGTCTCAACACTGAGCATGTATTTTGCTCAGCGCGGTAGGGAAAGACATTTCTGCTGTGGAATTTGTAAAGAGAAAGATTAGCTTAATTCCTGGTCTGAAAGGCGTGACGTACAAAGAGTCTCTGTCAAACGTCTGTCCAGGATTAACTCTTTAGTCCTGTAGAGAATATTAGACAGGGACAAGTGTTCAAGTCCTGTAAGGTAATCAGGATCTTCAGAATCAACAGATGCACATTAATCAGATGAGACAAGTGGAAACTTAAGAGGAAGAACATTTAACACCAAGAATGGAAGCCATCTCTTTACACATAGGAATCTACAATAATTAACCTGCCTTGTTGTTAGCAAATACCCTGGGCTCCTTCAGAATAAGTAATACTTAAAGACCAGACCAGCAATGTGGCAGGATATACTCCTCTCATTTGGATTCTTACTTGCTCTTAAATATCCACTAATCTGGGGTGTAATTGTAACATTCCTGAGTTAAAGCCTCCTTTATACTGTACATATGCATTCAGTGCAACATTTCTCATTATCATTATATAATTGCAGGACAAGTCTCAGAATAAAGAATGAAATTTCAGTACTTCACTGTTTCTTGAGCAGTACACACGTGTGACCAGTTATTGAAGATCACTAGTTTAAAAGCGTTTTTTGAGTCGTATGGAATGTATTCAACAGTTGTGCAACTAATATTTAGTCAATTTGAATAATCTGTTAAAAACTGTTGGGAAAACAATGGAAATAGAAAATGACCACATTCAGAATGTGTACAAATATTATAGTTTATAGTGAGTGTGGGTAACAAAACTGGGGAAAATGTATGAATTTTAAAGATAAATATTGCCCACAATTTATAGTTTAACTGAAGTGGCAAATAGAATTTATAACTGTATTTCACAGGCATTGCAGTGGGTATTGGAATTGGATGATTGTGATTATTAATGACCAATTATACTTTTAATTTACTCATCATGTTCCTATTCATAATTGGTTGCCTGGCCAGATGTGTGTACAAATTCTTTCTTGATTCTTAAAAGGTATAATGGCACAATAGAACTATATAATAGAATTCAACCTCCCCAGGGCTAGCTTTCATTTGTTCTTTACATAGAAAACCAATGGAATCTTGACAAGGCTTTGAGAACCTTTTTATGAGAAAAAAAAAAGTTTCTCTGCTCCGCTTCTAAATAGCATGTCACCAAGAGATGTTTACTGTGCTCTGCCAGAACACTCTGTACAAGTGAAGTACTTTTAACAGAAAGTGTCCTGAGGTTTCTATGGCTTGTTTATCTCTTTCTGCGATTGCTCTGACATACTAGGTGTGTGACTATTATTAGAACTGGTTTGCTTGTCAGAAAAGTGAAAGAAAACAGGCGGCTTTATTTGTGGAAATTCACATGCCCCAGGGGTTTAATAAGCTGTTCTGCCTTTTAAAACCATGTCCCTCCTGGCTCTTTAGGGGTCAGACGGTTTCATATTGCTTTTGAAACACTCCAGCACTTTTTGATTTCTTTTTCTATGCAAGAAGTCGAATCGTGCCAGAAATCACGATTTGAAACCGATGATAAAAGCTTCTTTTGAAAGAATGCAGTCCTCTCTCTCTCTCTCCGAGTTGGCCATTATGAGCAGTGCCTGATTTTTAAAACAAATGCCAAGTAGATTAAAAATTGATGCGGCATTAGTGCAGTGTATAACATGTAACACGGTACAACTAAAGAACAGTTGTGAACAGTATGTTTTCAGACGGTACTTTAGTGCAGGATGTGCTGAAAATCCCTTTTTTAGGTTTTCGAGTAGCGTAAGCCTGAAGCGATTATAAAGATTCAAACGCCATACAGCTTATCAATTTTATAGATACACTACTAGTACCAACGTGATGGACATACAGTGCAGTCTGTGAGTATTTGGACAGCGACAATTTTTGGTTTTGGCTCTGTACTTCAGCACATTGGATTTTAAATGAAACAATGGCTATGAGGTAAAGTGCAGAATGTGAGCTTTAATTCGAGGGTATTTACGTCTATATTGGGTGAGCCAGATAGGAATCACAGTCCTTTTTATACATTTTAGAGGACCATAAGTAATTGAACAGTTGGCTGCTCAGTTGTTTCTTGGCCAGCTGTGTTTTTGCATCGTTAGTTCATGAACAAGAGAGCTAACAAAAGGTCTAGAGCTGGTTCTAGATGTGGCATTTGCATCAAGTCTGTTGCTGTTGTCTCGCAACATGAGGACCAAAGAAGTGTCAATATCAGTAAAGCGGACCAACATGAGGCTGAAAAATCAGAATAAATCAATCGGAAACATTAGGTGTGTCAAAATCAACTGTTTGGTACATTAAGAAGCCAGAACGCACTAGTGAGCTTAGCAATAGCAAATGACCTGGTAGACCATGGAAGACCACAGTAGTGGATGACCGAAGAATACTTCCGATCGTGAAGAAAAACTCCCTTTCCACTGTTGAACAGATCAAGAACACTTTGTAGACATAGATGTGTCAAAGACTACCATAAAGAGAAGAATACACCAGCATAACCTCAGAGGGTTCACCACAAGATGCAAACCACTGGTAAGCCTCAAGAACAGAAAGGCCAGTTTTCAGTTTGCTAAAAAGTACATAAAAAGCCTGTAGAGTTCGGGGACAAAGTCTTATGGACAGATGAGACTAAGATTACCCTGTACTGGAGTGATGGAAAGAGTAGAGTGTGGAGAAAAAAAGGAACTGCTCATGATCCAAAGCATACCATCTCATCAGTAAAACACGGCGGAGGCAGTGTCATGGCTTGGGTATGTATGGCTGTCAGTGGAACTGGTCCACTTGTCTTTATTGATGTGACACATAATACTGACTCCTGCTGTTTGAAAACGGTTTTGTCCAGTTTACTCTAAATGTGATGCCAGAGTAATGAGTGGACCATTATCAACTAACACTTCCATTCCTGCCTGAACCAAAACAGCTTTAAGACTGTACTTCATGAAAACCAAACCCATTTCTGATTTGGCTTGGATACTTTTCCAGTCCACAGAAGGTTAACAGCTGAAATTTGACCTATTACTCACATTGCTTCTTTTGAAGGACTGTTTGGCCAGTTAACTTCAAACTTGGTAGATATCTAATCATGCCTTTGTCAATGTGGTTTCCTATGAGTTCTTTCATACTATGCTGTAAATACCAGTGCTTACTCACCTGTTCCATAATGTCTATGTCCAGGCTCATCACCCATTTTTTTATGAAGCACATATAAAGAAAAGCACATTATTTTGTTAATCTGTTTTGTATTGAAAGTTGCCCTTTGTTCTTATACTTTTGTGTTCATCATTTCTTGTGTTTTACCTGTTGTGGATCCACAATGATTCTCATTTCTGATTATTTCATCCTCTTTGTTCCACCATTTTGTGCTTTGTTACAAACCTTGATGCTCCTCTGCCAAACATGGAATCTTACCTTTCAGGGAAAGCTGGGGACAGAGCTTAGGGTATTTAACCCAGCAGTAAACTGTAGCAATCAGCCTTTGTTTGAACCTGATTGTAAATATAACCTGTCTTTGTATGTTGTTCTATGCCTTGGGTTTTCTTAAACTCATTCAGAACTATTAGTAGTGAGTACCTTGCATAGCTACACTTTTGGGCTGCTTTATGTTGTTTTTCTCTCATGTTTGTAAATCTCTTCCTGCACTGGTATACTTAAGTAAATGGACATTTACTTTGCACTTCACTTATTTTCTGTAGTTTCTGTGACAAACACTTGACTTCAGTACATTAAGGCAGTTTAGTCACAGTAACATTCTAGTGACAATAAAATGGACATATTCTGAAATTATGTCCTTGCATAAACCACAAAGGCTGCCTGACCTTTAAACTGCAAGTAGTTTTCCACTTTTTATTTTTTAATGAATCATACGTAGAACGAGTTATTAAAAGCCAGTAAAGTTACATCACTTAAATTCCTCACATCACCATTTTGAAAATCCTGTTGTCCACTCAATATCCTGCCTCTGGATTTCGGTTTATGTGCTCTAGTCCCTGTAACGTGATCTGCAGGACAAATCTGTGGTCAAAGAGATATCCTTTAACAGAGAAGACGTGGAGTTTTACCGAATTATTCTGCACTTCCCATCCTCTCTGTGGTGTAGTAATTAAGCGACTGCCTCATCAAATGAAACAGAATGGAACTTATAAGCTGTAGCACATGTGGTATGGTGCAATGCAGAAAAGCATGGTGCAGACATTTTGAAAACGGGATAAAGCTGAAAAATAAAGCGTGGATCTATCAGTTCCATGAAATGTTCTCTGTAATGTCAGTTTATTTCCAGTGCCAATATAAAAGTCCTGGCACTTTCTGCAAGAGATGCAATGATGTTGTAGGGACAAGCATGATGCCCCTCTGTGTGATTTTGTGAAAATAAAAATTCTCAAGCTAGATTTGCCACACTGCTGGTAGAAATGCAATAGCAGTTTTTATTCTGCCCATGAATAAAGGTTCTGTTATGCAAAACCTATGTGAAATTTGTAATGTTCAAAAATGATATATTAGGTAGGATAAATTTTATAACATTTATTAAAAATCAGACCAACCTGAGTCTACTAAAGCTAAAAGCATACCATACAGAATCTTAAAATATTCCATTTAGGTAGAATAAGTTCCTCTTTGTGGTTTATTAATACAATTACCAAAGAAACTATTTCTTTTCTTGCACAACAATAGCTTTTTATAAAGCTGTTTAGCAAATCCTTTCCAGTGAAAGGAGACTTGTTTTTGATAGGCGTGATAGCAAAACAGTCAAATAAGTAATAATATTCCTGTGTTAGGGTATTTTAAATTTATAGTTTACAGATCTCCTTCTATTGTATTTAATTTGTAAAAACATTGTGCGGGAAGTTTTACGAAATAAGGTTACTTTTTTAAAAGAAGCACTTTGTCGAATATTTCCTGTGGATGGAAAAAAAAAAATCAGTTCATATCTGAAGCGTTGCGTCCTGCCTGTTTCTCACAGCCTTCCAAACTGCCAGTTCAGATTGCTGCAGCTCACCCACCTCCCCCTCGGAGCTCTGTTAGGTCTTTGGCTGCACCCTGCTCTCAGCTGACTTCTGTGACACCACTACTAAGGATTTCCTGTGAACCATAGCCTCCATGATCCCTGGGAAGGAGCTGTCTGTTTCCTGCGAGTCCTCGCTGTTCTGCGACTTGGTGCTGTCCTGGGAATCGTGCTTTTGCCTCGACGCCCTGCTCTGCTCCTCCTTGAGCTCGAGGTAGGAGCGGGAGAAGGTGTGAAAGATGGAGGTGACGGGGAAGGCCATGAGCAGGATGCCGCTCAGGATGCTGCTAAGAGCCACCACCTGGCCGGGGATGCTGCGGGGGACCATGTCCCCGTAGCCCACCGTTGTCATGGAAATGACGGCCCACCAGTAGCAGCCTGGGATGCTGGTGAACTCCTGCTTGGCTCCCATCTCGCTCTCGGCCAAGAAGACCAAAGGGGAAAAGAGGGCCATGGCAACGCACAGAAAGAGCAGGAGGAGGCCGAATTCCCTGGTGCAGCGACGCACCGTGAGGCCCAGCGTCTGCAGGCCCAGAGAGTGCCGGGCCAGCCTCATGACGTAGAGGATTCGGAGGGCCCGTAACACTCGCAGGACGAGGCCCACCTTCTCCAAGTAGCTGTTCCCAGAGCCAACGGGCTTGTTGCCCACAGAGAAGGAGTCCACGATAAGGGTGATGTAGTAGGGCAGGATGGCCATGACGTCAATGATGTTCAGCGGTGTCCTCAGGAACACGCACTTGCTCTGTGTCTGGATGAAGCGCAGCAGGAACTCCAGGGAAAACCAGGCCACACACACTGTCTCCAGCACAAAGATATTATAACACCTCTGGGAGCACTCACCCTGGAATAGAAAGACACCAGAGATTTAAGAGATAAAACTATTAGGGTTAGCTGGACTGCACGACACGAAGAAACCAGAGCACCCTGTGAAAACCCACACAGACACGGTGAGAACATGCAAAAATCAAAGAAGGTGCCCCAGGCTGGAACTGAATTTAGGACCCAAGAGCTATGAGGCAGCACTGCTAATCACCATGTTGTCTACAGATGCTTCATTTTACATTTTTATCATTTTATACTTTCCTACCTACTTTTCATGTAGGACTCTCTGGTCGCAAATTCGGGCTTAGGTCAAGGGACTGCCCAAGCAGTGGTGTTAAATTGGCTGAGCACCACTGATTGTAGGGTGGGATTAGTTTGCCAGAGCTCTATTGGGTCTTGAAAACATAGTGTCCCCTGTGGCCTCCAGGGTACCTTCATGGCATATGGTGCTGACTGGGAGAAATGTGCCTCTCCATAGGGTTCCTCTTGTGATGTGTTAAAAGACAATTGGCTCAAAAGTTGGGCGGGACAGAGGAGTCTGCCTCCACTTCCTCATATTCCCCTTGTGCGGTCACAGGGTTTGTAGCTTCCAGCTGAGATGTGAAAGACATGATCGATTGTCGATTTTAAATCTGGTGGGCCTAACTGAACAAGTACATTTCTATATTTATCTTTACAAAAATAAATTAAAAACTATCTATTTTGTGTGACCCTGGATTCCTGCATCTGTGATTCTCACAACACAATTTATAAATGGATAAAATGAATTAAAATAAGATGCCAGAAACCGCAGTTCAGTAACAAATTAAAAATGCACTGAATACTGTAACACAGGGTTCTCCATTAATCCACTCCATTGCAGTCCATTAAAGAAACCATCACTTTAGCTGCGGCATTGATTTTGCTTACCATCAATTAAATAATTAAGGCTGAAGAGCCCTGCATAAGGCACTAAAAACATTTTTTTCCCCCCCATCATACAGAAATTTCCTGTAACTTCAATTTTCATTTGCTCCTATGGATGTGTGCTGTGCCTTTTTCCATTGTTATTTCTGCTTCAGATATCATCAGCCTTGCCAGCTCTGCCTGTTAAAAATAGCTTCTAAGAACAAGCCTAAGCACGGACCACAGGGGAGGCCGAAGAGTGTTGTGCACTAAGAGAAGTGAAAAGACTCTTGCAGGTTTTTATGTGGCAAAGCTCCAATACGTTCCACACTTCCCTTTCCGAGTCCATCACGTATGTCAGCTTTGTGTAATGTCCTGTCCCTGGAAGAGTCCCTGTCGGCTCAAAAACCTTGTTTTGAGGGAATTGATCAGGCAATTATTTTCACAGGTCGATTCAAAGAATCGAATCAAATGGTATTCAGCTGGAAAGCTAATCATCTCAATGATGTCACTTGCGATCTGAAAAATAATGAAGTAAAGAACAAGTACATTTCTAGCAAAAAAAACTACTGTAGCCTGTCTTAATCCAGGGACACTTCTGGTCATAATACAATTCTCCACTACTTCAAGATTTCAGAAACAGCCCAGACCCACCAGGAAAGTAAGTTTCAGTTTTATAAAATTACATATAGTATCTTATTTTTTATTGTGTTTCAAGGAAAGCTCCACAGATAGGAGCTCACAAAAATATTCTGACTTTCCTGTCGACCCCTTTAGATATTCTGTGTATCTGATATTTTTTCTGTATATATTACTCAAAATAGGAGAATAGAGAATTGTTACTTAAGTTTATTCACAACATACCTCTCCTTTGTTTTGCCTTTTTGTTACATTAGGCTCTACAGTAGCTAATCAATACCTCTATCGGTATTAAGAATGACCACGAGTGACTGTCTTTATCAGATAATGTTCTGTGTTTCAAAAGAGTGTCAAGGAGTGTGAGATATTAAGATTTCTTCCTGAATACTAGATAAATTAGTCAGTCAAACAGATCCCTGAGAGTCCTAACAGTAGAATAAAGCACATAAGTGTATAGTTGATATTGATAGATTTCCCCAACCCATTACTCAGTTTTCTGGAAGCATTTGTCACAGTTTGGAACTGATATGATAAAGCAACATATAGTAAAAGTTCACCTAAACCTATTACTGAGCTGCATCTGCAGATATTCCTTGTCATATTTCAAGTCCTTCATTTCATGGTATCTTCTGCCTATTTCACTTAGTTTTTCTCTCCCTGGAATCTGCTTTTTGTTTCCGGTTTAAACTATGTCTCATTATGAACTGTTATGCATGTACGTAAAGTCAGTTGCACAAATGGTTATGTTTACAGTATATGGTTAAAATGATTGTCATGTCATGTCATTTACCACACTGCTTTATACCATACGGTGTCACAGGAACCCAGAGCCTACCCGGCAAGCAACGAGCGCAAGGCAGTATACACCCTGGACAGGGTGCCAGTCCATCACAGGGCCAGTGCAAGCCAATCACACATGGGGACAATTCGAAGGCCACGGTAAAGGCCAAGGGGAGAAATTTGTCCCGGACACCTGGATAATTCTCTACTCTTATCGAGAAATGCCCGGGGATCTTTAATGACCACTGAGAGCCAGGACCTCGGTTTAACGTCTCACCCGAAAGACGGTAAAATGATTGTATATTTTGTTGAATCATGCTGCGTAGGGTTTATGAAGAAATTATGACCGTGTTTTTTCATCTCATTCAAGTAGAATGTCACAGTTGGATGCAATGGTGCTATGTATCCTGTGATGCTGAGGTCTAAAAAAACATCACAACTCTCAGGATATGGTGAAAACTATTAAGAGGCTTACAAGTAGCCTTAAAGTATCTAATTTCTCCTACCATAATTTTCAAAACTATTCACTGCCAATATTTGAAAACCTCTAAAACGATTCATCCACTAAACACCCCCACCACTAACAAAGTATACAGCTGTATATTTAAACTTAAAGCATCTCCTACTTGTTCAGGTCTAACGAATTACAGTATATTTAAACACAAAGCTCTCCCTTCTGGTTTGGTCCAGCCAATTATGGCACATTTAAACATAGTTCAGGTCACAACAGTTACAGATTCACTTCTTACTACAGAAACCTGAAGCAGTGGGGAAGTCTGTTGCACCAACAACCTGAAAAACTCACTGCTGATCAGGATATCCCTAGTAAGACAAAATGTCCAATATTTATAATGGATAGGGGTTTGTGTTGATGTAAAGTGTGTATATCTGCCGATTGTGTCCCTTCTCCTGTTTCCAGGCACCTTGGCTGCTGCTGATGGATCACGTAACAAGGACATGGAAGTCAGAATTCCAGAGAGGAAATGTTTGTGCATGTCTTGTTCGTCAGTTCTTCATCATCACTTACCCTTTCATGCTCTTTAACTTGCATATTTTTCCATCCTTTACATTTCCTAAATAACAAATACTTCCACATTTTCAAACCTAAAGGTTTAAGTGATAATTTAAATATGTCTTCAGCAGTAATGATGGTCTCTTGACCATAAGAAGGAATAAGAAGGAAGAATCTTATTCTACGTCTCCAGTAATTCCTTCCACTCTCCTGAAGACAAGTTCTAATTACCCATGATTTATTCTAATATTTCACAAAGAATGATTGAACACAGCCATAAATTCATAAATTATATATTGTATGAAAAAAGCAAATCATGAGAATTAACTTGTGGCTTCTGAAAGTAATTGCTGATGTCCCCTCATTTTTCATTGAACTTTCATTTTATAAACTTTATTAAATGAAAGCCGTTTTTCACCCCAGATCTGCAGAAACTAATCCTACTGTCACTAATTCATAAATTCTTTAATTTACTTTTGGCATGCTGCAATATCTGCAAATCCCTTGTATAATTAATTTTCCACAGCTGCAAATAGGCTCATAAATATTTGAAGATATAATTACAAGTGCTTACTTCTCTATTAAGTGAAAAGTGCCACTGGGAGAGTAATGGTCACAGTGCAGTCAATAGATGTGTGTAACCCCACTCAATACTATGACCTGACTGGGGTTCCACAGAAAAAACTGTATTTAATGCTTCCTTTCCATTTGACAGCATAGAGTTAATCTTGGATTGTTCCTTTGCCAATGTTTTAATCATATATCCATATTGAAGAACTTCAGATTTTCAGGCCTCTTCATTTCCCTCCACATTTGCAGCACATAAGAAAGGTTGCGCACAGAGCCATTCACAAAGCTGAGGGATACAAAATTCCCATCAGCTGATTCCCGGGAGATCTCACAGAGACAGTTTTAACACAGACCACTCCCCAGTCTTCTATTTTATTTAAAGAAATGTCTCCCATTTTCTGTCCTAAACTTACCGAATCATTGCTGTAAGGTACAAATTTGTACAAATGCTTATAAAGTGCATTTGCAATTGTTATATTGCGTAGTGTTTATGAAGGAGTTATGACTGAGTTTTGAATACCTACAGTAACTCATTATTTGTACACTAATGTCTGGTTGCTCTCCTTTCACTGTCCTTTTACTGTATGAAGCATTGGCACCGATGAGTGCATTTCAAACCACAATGAAAGTAAAATGTACACAGTAACGTGTAAAACCTCCAATTTACATCACAACATAGAATACATTTCCAGGTACTGTATGCACATGCATATTCCGCATTTCAGAACGAGGCAGCAAAACTTCAGATGACGTCAAGTGACCCTATTTCATTGTAAACAAGCAGTCTTGTGAATACATCTTTTATGCTAATAGAAATGTTGTTCTCAACTTCAAGATGGTTTTAGCCAACAAATACAAATTACTTGTTAACTCTACATGCAGATCACGTTGGAACATTTCTGCAGAGAAATGTCTGCTGCACAACATGTACTTGCACATCGCATTACATTAGTCATTATAGTGACTAGTGAGCAGGAAGGGCTTCGCACAATTTCTTGCTCTCGCCCGTGTTGAGACTAGTATATTGCAACAAAATGGAGACCATATAGTCCTTTCACAAAGTTCATGATTTTGTGCTTAAGTTGGAATTTGTTATACTTTGTTATACCATCCATTAATTTATTTTATTACCGAGATTTAGTATCTGGTTTGAGAAACTGGGACTGTAGTTCCCTTTTAAATGATACTATACATATTATTGTACTAATACTGTAATTTAGTTTAATGTATTTTTGGTATTTGGTATTTTTTTTATTTTACAGGGACAAATCATTTCCTGAGACAAAAGCAGTGAAACATCTATTATTAAAGAAGTTATAACTACATGTCTGACTTCAGTTAATATTTGTGCCGTTAATCTACGTCTCCAGTAATCCAGTAAGGGTCACTTACTACCCGATTATCGACATTGTACTGATGATTGATGTTCTTTGTGTATTATTTCCTATAAGGGGTTTGCATATAAGGGGAGTTTACACCCCGTATACTGAAGTGTTGCCATTTTTTCAAGATTACTGGTGTCTAAACCTCATTTGAATTTTTCTCATCTTTTTTATATTCAGTTCTTTGTATATGGAAAAAACAAACTCGTAAATCTGTCAACGACCCAGACCATGAATTATAAAGGTTAGAAAAAATGTTCTTTTCTGCTGTTAAATGAATAGTTTCATATTCATGACCTTTTGTAACAAGAAAAAAGAAGCAGGACTTTGATGGTTAAAATGGAAGAAAAAGCCAAGGTAATTTATATGAAAACCAAAGTATCAGGAGAGTGGCAGAAACAAGCCTTTCACTATTCAGAAGTGCTCTGTTAGAGACATCAAAGGCTGTTTCTGAGTTTCAGTTTTAAAATGAATTTCTTTCATAAAAGACAGCAGGCAATGGTACATTTCTCAAACCATCCATTAACTATGAGGGAGCATATTCTAAACCTTTCAACTAAAGAGGTTTCTCAATCCATTCTTATTCCTGTTAAGACATGGCTATTAGTCTTATTTACTAATGACTTCGTGAAAGGTAGATTATAAAGGTTAAAACAGAAATGAACTATTTAAAATCCTGTATAAGGAATGAGTTGCTCAGTTCATTCGTTTAATATCATTCAAAGCAGCACACTGCAGAAAGCTAGAAATACAGTAAACAAATGGCACTGCAAAACCAAACCACGATGTTTGCAATGGTTTTTCAATGAGAGATATTTACCTGATGTTAAAAGTGTTAAAGAGCTTTTTTGTTTAATCTCTGGAAAGTATTTTTTTTCCCAGTAAATGAGATGACATTTCTTACACGGAATGTTTTCAGTATACTTTGCACTTTTGGAATGTAATTTGGATTTGAATGAAAAGAAAGTTCATTCCCGCGCTCATACTTACCCAAAAAAGAAAAAAAAAATCACTTTGTGCGATGGTAGACTTAAAGAATTTAACAAAGAATGAAAACCTTTCCATTTAAGTGCAGGAGTAGGCTCTGATTACACTCACAGCTTTCTTGCATAAACCACAGTAGTATCATACTGTACAAAGCTTTTGCAATTTTTGAAAAATTGCATTTTGTCATGGATGTTAGAAAAGCCTGAATACGATGTTAATTTTAAGAATAAATTGGAATTAAATGAATAAATTTCAATACATTTCCAAAAGGAAAGGAGAAACAACAACAATATGACAATTGTAAATTCATCGAGTTATAAAAGAAGGGTCAAACCCTGATGTTGCTCACGTAAGCCTGCCTACGGATAAATATCAGACTTCTTGCTGACTCTCTGGCGTGTTTCATTTTCACATCCCTCTCTTCATCCCCAACCCATCTTTCTGCCAGCAGCAGCTCCCCAGCTCATCCTTCATTAAAGGGGGGAGGGGGGTCCGACACCCCCATTCTTACAGAGAATGTCATTCTGCTCAGTCAGGTGAGTCAGCCTAATAAGGCTCACTAGGCGAACCGTGCTTCTTCTCTGCCTTAATTATGGGTTTGACCAAACTACTGAAATATAATTGGAGAGTCAAAATGGGAAAGATAAAGTGCCTGAAGGGAAAACTTAAGAGGATTCCTGTGCTCTAACCACATGTCACATCTGGACACTAAACACAAGACAAGTTCAGAAACGTGTAAGAGTCCATACTGGGGAAAAAGTCATGAAAGCACTGGAGGGTGAACAGCAGCGCGTGTGTCCGTGGCATTAATCCCAACGCGATGAGGTTGAAATGAAATAGCAACATGCTGGACACACAGCGAGCCGAGTGGCTCAAGGCTGGATAAGGGAAAGTCCAAACTCGGTGACCTAAATCCACGTGAAAGAACGGTTACAGATCGGTTTGACAAAAGATTGATCTTCAAACATTCCACATTGTCAATGGCTGATTGTCTAGATTCACCAAAACATCATACACATTTGCAGAACTCTTAATTACACAGCATGGCAGCAGGGTGAAAATGACGTACTGCACAATTATATAACATCTGTCTATATGTACAGTATATAATTTAATATGTACTGTATACTCAGAAGTGGGGAGTGTTGAAATCAAGTGTAAATAACACTTTCTCATAAATACTGTAAAATACTTTCATTAAGGTTAATCGGTGCCACTGTACAGACTTGGTACAGATAGATATGAAGTGATCTGAAGAGAAAAACAAGTCAAAGTTGCACACAATGGAAGGCCTTGTGGTGAATTTTAAAGACTGAGCTGTGAATAGTGTTCCTTTTACACTCTTCACTGGTCACTGGATCTATTCCTGACATAACTGATACGGAGCTCTGGATGCTGGGGTCCCTAATGCTAATAAACATGGGGGAAATAAATATTCAAGACTGACACGGAAATGAGTGCTTGATGGCCGTGATCAGCTGTCCATTCCTCCTGCCAACAGTCAGAGCGAGAGAACAGCCGAACAATGTTACCGATGTGTTCAATACTGTCACTGCAGGTTTGGATTGATTGTGAACAGCTGTTCAGTTTAACACGTTCACTGTGCACGGGTATTGAACAGCACTTTCTTATCTCAGCTAAGATGTAATGTTGTACGTACAGTTTTTGTCCTGTAAACATCTCAACGAGCAGCTCTGAAATGTTATCGTGAATTGGCGTTGGCAACAGTGATTACTGATCTCAGCGTGTCTTGATTTCTACTTGTTAGAGACTACAGACTTCTACATCAGTGTTCCCTGTTGCTGGGACATTTGAGTAAATTATTTCAGTAGTGGTTCATCATTTTTGACCCATTCTGAAATATCCCAGAAATGTTTATCCAGGCGTTAAATGTTGTATTAGGAAAGGATTTAAGAATGGTCCAGAATTACTTTGAAAATGCAGTTCAAATGTTATTTTTGTATGTTTACGATACCACAATATCACAAACTACATATCATGTAAGTAAGGCACTGTAAAAAAAGTGTTTTATATATATATATTTTAAAACTACAGACATTGAATTGTGGGTGAATCTGAATTAGTGATGCAACCAAATGGACATCTGTTTAAAAACTGTCCATCCTTTCACCCATTTTCTAACTATTTCTTCCAATTT